GAAGGGAATTATATTTACGCACATTCCCGCAAAATTTTGTTTCTTTCCTCACTAGGGGGTTATATAAAGTTTGCAGGAGTTACACATAGATGGCTGAAATTATTGATTGCGTTGATCTTTAAGAACACCCTCTTCCCTTCAAGAGTAGACAGGTTAAGGCTATTTTGGCAAACAAGTACCTCCTAGATGTAATACCATTTGAAAGTAGACACGTACCAAGCTACGCTATAGAAAAAACACATTGACATAGCCCATATCACTTTCCGCTTCGTAACAAAACTCTTGAAACGAGTCGGGTATTTGACTGCCATCATTAGTACGCAGAAAAATATAAAATATAGAAAAAACTAAAAGACATGAGGGTTTTAGTGATGGAATAATGAACGGCTAATGTTCCGTACTTTTGAGTTCCAAAACGTGCTACAACATATAGTATCGCCGTGTATCTTCATGAGCGGTGAATCCTATAGACGTCAGAACAGTTATAAGGCTGAAAATAAAGAACCACTTTAGGATAAAATTATTAATATACCGAGAATTCCCAGAAGGATAATTACTACGTTTGAAACGGATCCTTATGAATTTGTTAACTACGATTGCTAGACTTGTTCCTTATTATTCCTAATACCAGAATGTAACTCATCACCAAATTCACTTCTGTCTTGATGTCGTCTTTGTCAAATAGTATTGTATTATTGAAAAAAAAACGCCACTTGTTTGATGATGTAACATTTACACTTATATTACTGAACAGGTCTAAAAAAAATAAACTTGTCATTGTTGCTTGCTCCATTTATCTCAGACTTTATAAAAACTATTATTAAAAATCGCAATTTATATTTTTTTTATGAAAATTTTTTGGCCAGTTTATCATTATTTATCTTCTTAAAAATTAAGTGTATATTAAGAAATTTTTTTCCATTTAAAGGATGTTATTGGGAAAAAAAAATCCATAATTAATTTGCGACTGACTTTTTGATTAAGTGATTTTAATTTCAAAATTGATAGTAATATTATTATAAGGATAAATGAATAATTTATAATATTTAATTAATTTTTATTTAAATTAGTTCTTTCCAATATTTTGGGTCAAAACACCTTTTTTTGTTTAACCAAGCCAACCCTTCCCCACAAAAAAAAATTAAAATGAGTTATATCAATAATTGAAGATGATAAAAGGTAGTGTTTGTGGTAAAAACTTGGATTTAATCGTTTTTCTTTAAGATTTTATTCAAAATTAATCTTAGCTAAATTTCCAGATTTCACTGAAATTGGCAGAAAGAACTGACCCCCATATTTGCAAAATCTATATGCTTACAAATAAAAGGAAAACCAATGGGGATATAAGTGTTTGTAACTTATTATTTATGCCATTCTTATACCTATATGCTAAAATCACACACATTATTATTATATTTGTCATCATATTCATTATTCTTAGTGTTGGTCGGAACAAATATCCTATCACCCGACCGCCCAAGCCGGATGACAGCTGTGGCATTTTTAAGCACGATAGATTCTCTTTTCGCATGTATGTGCTTCATCAATTATTAAAAAATAAAAACTAGAAAAACAGTCTACTTTTGATGTTTGGACCCTAAAAAGAAATCTTTTCTATGAAAAACCGGAAAGTTTTTAACTCTCTTAGACCTTTCGGATAATCCTATATGCAATCTAATATGTTCTTTTAGCCACCAAGTAATTTTTTTTAAAAAATAATTACAGCTCAGCTGTGAACCGTGACTGAAGATTTAGCCCGAATTCGCCATTTTATTCATTTCCCCATCTTATAGTTCCCAACCATTTTTTTTTTGAATTTAAATATGTTAAGTTTGATTCGTGATCATATGTTTTGCTTTAAATAATTTGATATCGAACGTCTTATTTATCCTCGGTACATATATAAACTCTCCAGTTAACCTTGTAAAATTAGAGAGAAAAAGAGCTCTATACTAAAAATGATATGAGGTAATATATTCGCGTTTTCATTGGATGGATGTATAAAGAGTTCTGAAATACTAAACGAAATAAAGATATTGAACTAGAAAGGTTGAACGAGACAAATCGAATTTTATGTTCACAAAAATTTAGATTTTTATTATCTTATAAGAAATATGACTAGTCGAAATAGAAAAGCTAGTATTATATAGTCGCCACCTCAAGAATTTCGATGATAAGGCACATCTTCCGACATCAATATTCTTACTATATTCAGATAATTTAAATTCGTTTGAAAGTATGCTGAACACCTAAGGGACTTGGTAGACTTATTTCTTTGGGTCTCCAAGTTTGAAAAGGTTTTTAACTCTCTGATAACTTAAAAGAAGATCCTTATTCCGCCATTCCCATTTTATTTCCAAAATGAAAACTCGTCTCAAATATTCTAGGCCTACGAAGCTTTAACATCTCCATTCCTTTCTAAAATTTATAGAGCCAAAAATCTTTTTTCGTATTCTTTAAATAGCCACATGGAAGAATAGAGGAAGGAAAAAGCTTTATCATATTGATATTTTTTTTGCTTCCATTACTTTTTTTATAAGTCGTCGCCGCATCTGCTATATTAGAATATAGAGTGAGGTTTGCCACCAACAAGCAGTGGTGATAAATATCTCCTCCAATTTTAGCAAGTTCTGGGCCAACTCTAAAAAAGGTTAAAACAAATTTATAAGAGAACAATAATTTTAGCCCTCTATCACGGTTTCATACTTATAGGATAGCCCAAGCTTGAAAAGATTACTTTTGCCAAGAGAGGCTCGAAGGATTATTTTCTACTGTTAGAATTTGAGTGCTGGTTTAACGTTTAACTAAACTACAGGCAAGAAATAGTCCAATGTTAACCAAATCTTTTAAATGTTTTGATAGGAATGTGAAATTTTCAAATAGATATATCGTCAGCTTTTAGGATAAATCATTACTTTGAAAGAAATAATAAATTGAGATCATTTTTTTTACAAGGTTCTTTCGTGTTTTTTCGCCGATGAATGAACAAATATTTTTTTTTTAAATTGATTGATTAATATATTTAAAATAAGAAATCATATGTTGACTGGGACTATATGACAGAAATTGTAGGCTATCAAGTCCCTCCCCCCATTAGCAGGGGGCTCCAGCAAAGTTTCTAATCAACACTCAGAGATCTCCCGCAATTTAGAAATCTTCCATAAAAATCTCTACGATTTTAAAATTTTTTTCAGCATTGTTTTTAAAACTTTTTTAATTTTAAATAATAATTTTTGAGACACAAAGTTAGAAAATAATGATAGTTTGCTTATGTATAAAATTAATATTTTTTTTGACAAATAAGGATGTTATCTCATTTATCAGAATCCTACGTTAGAGTCTAACTCCACTACGATAAGGTAGAATATAAAACTTTAAAAAAAAAAACTAAAAAAAAAATTTATTACCAATTATGGGAAAAATATTCTAAAACTATACTGACTTTGTCAAGTATGATAAAGTTAAAAAAAAATGAATAGGAATATAATGGGGGGGGGCAGGCCAAAATGACATTTTCTTTAATCCGGCCCGAAAGCCCCATCCACAAAAAGAAATTTTTTAACCGACTTTCTCCCACAATTTGAAAATTTTGACCGAATTTCTCCCGCAATTCGAAAATTTTGACCTGGCGCAACTCTTAGAGGAACTCTATTTTATTCCTAGCTGCATTTAATGCTTATTCTTTACTTTTCCCTTTCTTCCTTTAGATCCCCCCCCCCCCCTCCAAAAATAATGAAGGCAAATTGCTTCTAACCTACTCAGTCGTTTAGACGCGCTGTACGTAGGCAAATATCTAAGGATGTTGGCTCGTTATCTATGATAAATGAATATAAATATTTTTGTTTTAATTAATAGAGAATTTATACTACTCTTTCTTAGTACCAACATAATTATTTGACCAACCCAAAAAATACGAATTTAGACATCATTTTTTAAAAATAAATTAATTCACATTTTGCAAAATAAAGTATTAAGAATGTCTGAGGAACTAATATATCTTTATTTTTTTAGTCTAGTTTGTTGAGAAACTGAATCAGAGATCTTGATTTAGAAAGAAAATGCCTCAGTAAAAAAAAAGAAAGAAGAGAATGTTTTCAATGCAAAATCTTGATCTAATCTCATTCCCATATGTATAAAGTAAAAAAATTTGTAGTTTTAAAAATCCCCATTTTTTCAGAATTGTTTTCTATATTATGACTCTTTAAACAAAGATCCTCTTAATATTATGATCCCTGAGGATTAGCGAAAATAAATTCTCAGCTATTTACCAATTGGAATTCTTAACTGGGTTATCGATAATTTTTAATAACAGTATAGTAAAATTGTTACTTGTCTAACATTCTAATTGCTTTTAAGAAACGATATTCTGCATGATATATTTAAATAATCATTTTTTACAGTTATTTGTGATAAATCAATAAATATATTCACTAATGTTCGAGGTCCATATAGCATTCATCATGTAATAATTTAACTCTAAGCTTAAAAATATTTTTTAGTCCTCTCTGAATCTGACTTAAGGTCAGACATACCTAGACTGACGATTCTTTCATTAAATGCATCTTTAAGCGTCGTTAAAAGCAAATCAGCTGGACCCGCCATTTTGGTAACACATATTAGGAATTATTCTCATGACTATTAAATCGATAACTTGCTTCCTTTATTATCTCCATGATCCCGTAATTCTTTAATAAAGTTTGCATCATATATAGGAATAAATTAGATGATGAGGGTAACCAAGATGGCATCTCCAGCTGATTTTGCATCGATGTACACTTTTAATGAATGAATATCGTCAGTCTAGGTATTATATATGTCATTGGGGTCAGACTCACCACCATTACATAATTTACTGTAGTTCCGACATAAGCCTTCAAATACCCTTATCAATTAGACACTTTCAGAAGATCGTCAGAAGGGATAAAGGTCCCAAATTTATAAAAATAAAATAAAAATGGAAAAATTTTGGCATAAACAATTTTGCTATTTCTTTATTTTGCTGTCATTAATATTTTGTTAATAAATTAAAATGGTAGTCATAAAATAAAACCGTTTTTTATACAAACCAAAAAAAAAGAGAAAGATTTATACGCGTTTTTTCGCAAATTTTAAAGAAACACATTTTCCGATATTTCCGGGGGATATTTGTTTGCACATTAGTCCGTATCTGCAACTTCCTTGCTGCCAGGCATCACCGCAAGGATCATTGATTTTCTATCCATTTATAACGTTATATATAAATATATATATTCCTTAAAAAAAAAGGTGTCCGTGCCTCTTTCATTGTAAAAAATAAAGCGGAAATTAGTAAGTTAGTTCCCAAGAATTGCAAGGATCCGGAAAGAGAAATTTCAAATAAGGTGCAATCAATGGGTGAGGAGTTCTGGGAGTGTGCCAAGGTTATTGATTGTTCTTTAAGACTGCCCTAGAGATTCGGGTGGGGTAACATGACTGTTTGGTTTATTTGAATAATCGGATGAGAGATGAAGGATGTGCCAAGAAATATATAGTAAGTTTTTGATAAGAAAAAAGAAGTGATGAGGCAGTTACTTCAAAAAAGATCTAACTATCACATCCTCGCTTATCGGTTTATCCTAGAAGAATTAAATTCCTGTCTGTTGGTGGAAGCCAAAAAAAATATTTGTCTTGAAGTGGTAAGGATTATTTGCAGGAGACAGAGCTTCAAACTTCAATTTTTAAGAGACATACCCCGATAACCATTGTTTTAAAAATATTTCTGACCTTCTTAACAATCCTCAAATTTTTACTAATTTGATAATTCGTCTCTAAATAACTAAGCAGAAATCTATGAAAGACGAATGCTAATTCATTAGCAATTATGCACAAAAAGAATAGAAATTCATTGCTGACCAAATTTATAGTTCTAGAGTTCATGGTAATATTTCAAGATTTATCATTGTTACATTGTTTAGAATAATTTGCGAGGAAAATCGAGAAAATGCTTAAAAGAGAGAACTGTTTCTAGTTAAATTATTACTAACACATAGAAGACTCAAATGAGCGCAATACGAATCTCCAGAAGCTTAGGATTCATTAAATAGGTTTTTCATCAATTTTATATTCAGGAAACACTTTTTTAGTATTTAACCAATAAACATTTCATTTTATACTTCTTTAATCAAAATCAACATAAAATCAGAGAAACTGCCGACCAGGCCCGGCTGATATTTTTTTAGGCCCAGCCAGGCCCGGAATTTTTTTAAAAAATATATCACTTATTTTTAATTTTTATAACTAATGTTTAATTTCGGCGGTTTTTATAAGTATACGGCACCAGACCTCTTTAAGAAGGGAAAAATTATGAAGCTTCCTCTTATACAAAGGCAGATGTGCTGATTCAATATTCTGGAGATTTAAGCATAAAATAGCACACCAGAGGCTTATAAAGAGTTCAATCCATTTTAATTCGGATCATTCAGTCAAACAACTGTTTCTCTATAAGAAGGTGGGATCAAAATAAATTTTAAAAAATGTCGTGGATGTCCTATTCTTGGTAATATTAATATATGGTCCGGAGTACCCCTTCCTACAGGACTGGGAATAAGGGTGGGGAGGATTCAAGAATTCATCACGTCTTATGGTATAAAAATGTTTTTAAGTTTTTGTTTTGTTTTGTTTTGTTTTAAAATATAAATGAAGGAAAAATCCCTATAATTTCCCCTTTAAAGGCTTATCCAAAAATTAAATACCTTCATTGCTCTCTCCTCAGAAATTTGAAGGTAGTCTTTTTTAGCTTAATTATACATCTTATTAAATTATTACCCTCGGAAACCCGGCTACGCATACGCCATCCGATTGGATAGGCTCTTGATAACTTTTGAATTGGCATATTAACCCCTTCGAACATCTTCCGCTTGTAAAAGACGGTCCGCCACATACTTCCCCTTTAACCTATTCGAAAAAAACCGATATTTTTTCATTAAGGCCATGGCCTAAATATCAAAAATCAAATTCGTAAACTTCAAAAACTTTTACTATAATATAAAAATGGAAAACATGTCCTAATGTTTCTATAAAATGTTATTTATTATATTTTTTTATATTACGAATATTTAAACCAGATTTAGGACACAACGTCAATAAAAAATTTAATTCGAACACTTTAAAAAAAACTTTAAATCGAAAAACAGGTGATAAGCTTTTTTTCAAATGGGAAATTAAAAATGCGACAAAACCTATATCAAAAATAAATAATTTTTTTTGTTGACTTTTGCGCATGCGGGACAACAACCGCAGGCATCTTTGATGACGTCACCTTTGCAAGGGGGAATGGCAGGACATTCAGTGGGATTTCTTTGGCATGGACAGCTGAACGTCTCTACTCCAATTCTTCATTTTTTTTAACATAAAAAATTGAGAACCAATTTTAATATATTAAATATATATTCCCGGAAGTTTTGTTAAATTAAAAAATCGATATTTTATATCATTAACTTCCGTAATTTTTTATAGGAAAGAAAGAAGGAAGGTAGGAAGGAAAGAAAGAAGGAAGGTAGGAAGAAAAGAAAGAAAGAAAGAAAGAAAGAAAGAAAGAAAGAAAGAAAGAAAGAAAGAAAGAAAGAAAGAAAGAAAGAAAGAAAGAAAGAAAGAAAGAAAGAAAGAAAGAAAGAAAGAAAGAAAGAAAGAAAGAAAGAAAGAAAGAAAGAAAGAAAGAAAGAAAGAAAGAAAGAAAGAAAGAAAGAAAGAAAGAAAGAAAGAAAGAAAGAAAGAAAGAAAGAAAGAAAGAAAGAAAGAAAGAAAGAAAGAAAGAAAGAAAGAAAGAAAGAAAGAAAGAAAGAAAAAGAAAGAAAGAAAAAAGAAAGAAAGAAAGAAAGAAAAAAAGAAAGAAAGAAAGAAAGATGTTAATTTTTTTTAAAGATCATTTTTAGTTATTTTAATTATCTGATTAGCAAGAACAAAAATATTTTAGATAGCTTAAATTAAAATGATCATCAAATGCTTTAAATGGAAATGTAGTTGAAACAATTTTTTATTGAGCAATGTAGAACAGAGACCTGCAGGCCCGGCCTAAGCCCGGCCCGGCCTGAAAATTTTTTCTAAAAAGTTATCCTGGCCGGGCCGTATATTTTAAAACCAAATATTTGAAATCGCCATTTTTGACCGTAAAAATCAAAAATAAAATATATTTTAAAAAAATCCGGGCCGGGCTCGAATTTTTTTTAAAAAACCGGGCCGGGTATGGCCGGGTTGGACCGTACAAATGGTACGTACCTCTGCAGGTCTATGATCTAGAGAATTGTTTTTTTTTAAGATATTAAATTGGTAACTTAAAAAATGATATGATTGATAAATATTTCCAAAATAATTTGTGGGGATATCTTGCAAACTTGAAAAATACTAAAAAAAATATAAATCATTCCTCTAAAAATAACCGAAAATTTCATCAATATCCTATCATTAAAATATATTTTCTGATTCAAAACTCGTCCGTCATAAAATAAATTGGAAATTACATTTAACAGTGATTAAGTTTAAATTGGGATTGTTACCAGAGAATGCAACTCTATAACTATCATATCAACATATGATAATTAATCTAGGATGACACCTTATATCATCTAGAAATGCCACCTTAACATGCTATTTATTCTTTTAAAAATGAATTTCCTTTATCAGGAATAATATTGAGTAAATCTAACAAATATATATATTAACTATATATATATAATACAGTACACTATAAAATTTTTTTTTTACTAAATTCTTAGACTTACATGTTAAAGAAACCCAAGAATATGCCTGAATATATCAAAGATTTGCAGAAAAACATTTTTCTTTTTTTCTCTTTATAAATTAATTTTATATATTTCTTGTATTATCAAATTATAAACTTTTAATATAACAAAATAAAATAATAAAATGTACAATGCTAAATTGTAACAACCTTGTTTTTAGTAACTTTATTTTTAAATATAAAATTAGGTATCAATTCAAAAATTAATAAATTGATACGAAAAAAAAAATAAATCTATTAACTATGTTTGCCAACTTAAAACGTTAAGTTTTCTTTTGTTTATATTTCAATTTTCAATTTAAATTTTCATTGGTTTCAAAAACAAAAATTTAAATTTGTTTCAAATCTTAAATTTAACTATTAACCGGTTTAATTATTATTTTTTAATAATGAATTGTTTTAAACGATTATCCATTTTAGATATTTTTGAATTAAGCTATTTACCGGTCCAGCTATACCCAGATTTAGCGCATAGAAATGTGATTGATATTAAATTTGATAGAAGAAGGGGAAATATTTAAATCACGTGTCCGTACTCGTATTTATTTATGCGTTATATAAGCCTAAGTTACACATGCTTTGATTAGTGAGAATAGTATTAAAACCCGGAAAAAACAGATGACGCCGATATCTTATAATAGAATTATTTATATTATTTTAAAGAACCTCACAAAAAAATTAAATTCGATTTAAACCTTTATAAATCTCTCTAAGAAATGATGAAACGTTTTTATATAAAAAAAAAGTAAAAATTTCTTTAATTTAAACAATTTTATATCGTGGTTGATAGATTAGATATCTAGAAAAATCTTGATTTATGAACAATATCAGAAAATTCGTAGGCATTTTTAAAATTATAAAATATGATAGGTTGGTTTTATTATTAATATAATATTATCAATTCAAATTTTTTTATATGTATCTCTAAACAACTAATTTAAAATGGTGGTTGATATGAAAACTCAATTTCTATTTACGTGGCCCAAAAAGGTTTTTATAAAATATTTATAAAATATATATTCAAATTTAACTCTTCTATTCACAAATAGATAAATATATATATATATATATAAGTTAATAAATACAACGAGATAATATTATTCAAATATTTTTTTAAAAACTATGTTTAGAACATTGATATATACAGGAATTCTGTTGTGTCTCTTTGACACGTAAGTAACAGTTAAATATAGATTAAAAGAATATTTTAACAAATTTTTAGCATTTTTATAATTTAATATTTTAGTAATAATTTAACGAGGTGCAAGCCTTATAAGATACATTCGGATTCTATATATAGTGTATATATCAAGAAACATTCAAAAATAAATTCACAATATCCTATCTTAAATATATTTTGTTTTAATCAATTTATAAACATTCTATTAAAATTTGCCCACTAATATGTTATCTAGGATATTAAATTTTTTTAAAAAAAATAAATTTAATATAATTTTTTATAATTATAAGAGAAAGATAATAAAATATGTAGCATATTTTTAAAAAAACTATTCGTTTGAAACCCATTACAAAAAAAAAAAGGTTAATAAAAATTTTTGATTTAAATTTTAACTGTCAAACACAATGACATGTATAATTCCTTGACTGACGGTTCATTCATTAAAATGCATTTTTTAGCGTCGTTAAAAGCAAATCAGCTGGACTCGCCATTTTGTTAACACATGTTAGGAATTATTCTCATGTTAAAAACTACTATTAAATTGATAACTTGCTTCCATTATTATCTCGATGATCCGGTAATTCTTTAAATAAAGTTTGCATCGGATATAGGAATAAATTAGACTCTCGTTTAAAATTTTAATAATGATTAGTGAAACCAAGATGGCGTTTCCAGCTGATTTGCATTGATGTACACTTTTAATAATGATTCGTCAGTCTAGGTATTGGTCAAACATTAAGGATTTCTCCGAGTATTTAGAGGGAAAATGGATTCAAATGAAATTGTAGTAATCACTATTATATCATTAGATTTTTACAGATTTTAACGAAGTGATCATTTAGGAATGCTCTTATTCCTTTAAAGTTTTAAAAGAAATTTGATTGGATAAGAAGTACTCAATTATACTACATTATTCTTGATTGGGTAGGATAAGCTAGAAATTAATCTCATATCCAAAATATGGAACTCTTTTTATAAACGAAAATATTTGATAAGGGAATAAAAATCTGATCAAACTATATATATTTTTTTCGAATTGTGAGATTGCCATGGCGGCATTGATAATTAATTTTAAATGTGTGGATCTGGGTCTGGGCCGGCTATTCCCCGAGGGTGGGCAGATTCGCTTAAATATTTTAAAACAAGCTTGGGGCGGGTTGTTAAAATAAATTAGTTAGCTTAAATTTTCTTATTTTTTCGGCACTAATCATGATTTGGATCTTGCTTAGGGTTAGGAAAATTGAGTCTTTTAAACAGCCGCCCTAATCTATATATATTTTGGACCCCACCAAAAGTCTCAGGTTTTGCATTCATATCGCTTCCTCCTAATTTTTACATTCATATAATAGAATTTTTTAGTTATTACGCGTAATATAGATATAGATACTAATAATTTTATAAAATTAATTTTAAACATGAGCTTCTCTTCTCTTCTCTTCTCTTCTCTTCTCTTCCTTCTCTTCTCTTATCCATATGACTCTTAAAACTTTATTATAAATTCCTAAATTGCGATGCATAAAAAATATTTTCATTTTGATCTCAAGAACACATTTTTTTTAATTTCCACATAATTTAAAATAAACATAATTTTTAAAAATTATTGATACAAGTTTACAAATAGAATTTTATTCTAACAAAAAAATTTGAAGGTCAAAACGGTTTACAAGAAATTAAATAAAGTGAAGCTCAATGCACCGACTTAACCATCCCGGTCTTTTCTATTTTGCGGATTAGTATAATTTTAAACATCTCAATCCTACTTGAAAACTTCCCCTTCCCTCATAAACAACATTTATTGTAATTGCAAGATGACAACATTTGTTCTCAAACTGGGAATATCTATAGCCATTGTCATTTTTCGTAATTTTAACAGAAAGGAACAAAATTTTCAAAACATTTATTATACTAACAATGGTTAGAAACGTCCTCGAAATTATTTTAAAAATTTTATTTCAATTTATTTCTATTTACATTTTTTTTTTTTTTAAAAAAAATATTTTATCTTAAAATATGCAATTCGCTGCAAAATTGTGTTTAGGAATTGTATTAGTTTTATTCAATTCTAATAAGTAAGTTTGATAAAATAGATATAAATTTTCCTCTATATTATTTTTAAAGAATTTTCATCTAAGTTTTTTTGTAAAATTTGTTTAATGAATTAAATGGGGAACCAATTATCAAGTGAAAACTTTCTAATATTTTCATCCACTTGTGACATAATAACTAAAACCATAATTTTCACATCTATGCGAAAAATAATTAAATTTGAAAATTAGATATATTATATAGAATAAATATAAAAAATCTCCCATGAAAATTTATACAAAAATGTCATCGAACAAATTGAAGTTCATTTCTCACATGGAATTAGGCCTCTAACCCATATCCTATATACCCTAACCCTTTGTTGGTTTAATATAAAAAATTTATCACTTTGGTCGATTATCTTCCATATGTAAGGAAAACTCTTTTGATCAAAAGCTTCAAAGAACGCCGGAAGGTAATAGGATAAAGTCCCTATAAAATAATCATTTAGTTCTTCTCTCCGTTCCAACATCTATTTTAAATTTTCTTTTTTTCTCTCTCTCGAAAACTATAAACGTTAAGCAAGATTTCAAAAAATAAATTCATATTCAATATTTTAAATTTTAATTACGACAATCATATATTATTCTTTGGGAATAAAAAATATGTGTAATTACAATTATTTATATTTTAAAAAATAAAATTAACCTCATTATTCTCAGATCTTTCCAGGGATCTTCTTGTTAGAATTGAAGAAATTCCTTCTTTATGATCAGGGTTATCGAAAGATTTTAAAAGATTTTATCCAAATTTAATATTTAATGAAGGCCTCATATTAATAGAACGGAGAAAAAAGGCTTGGCCCTCTCTTGACTAAATTTCAAGGCTTATGTAATACTTTTTTGGCTAAAATATTTATTCATTTGTGAATAATCTGTTAGAAACCCGCTCCGATACTATCTAATAAACCTGAAAAGGGTCAAATTGTTAAGAACTTCCGTACTTATAAACTTAATCGAATTGGGAAATTTTATTTTATAACATAATTTTAAAAACAAAAATATCAAATATAAAAGATTTGTGAATGCTGATGATTCCTGTGCTTGTGCCACACGTACTCCTCCGTGTTCAACGGCTCCGCCCTCGGATTGCAAAGGCGACCTAACTTTGGACCAATGTGGATGCTGCTACGTTTGCGCCAAAGTATCTTGAAATCAAATAAACAGCATTTAATTCCTTGAACATGTCTAGAATGTAGAAATATAAAGAAAATATTTTGGATGATTATGTTTATATATGATTGTACTTATTCAATCGTTAAATATCCTTAGGTGAAAGGCGAAGTGTGTTGGGGACCATATCTAGCAATGAACAAATGTTCCAGCGGATTAATATGTATACTAGATAACTACAAGGACGAATTTTTAGCAAAAGGGATCTGTACAACGGAATACGCAAGAGTTATTTTTTTTCTATTGTTTTTAACTGCACCAACAATATCATATTTGTAAAGGAAAGCCCGAATTTAAGTGAAACAAGAATTTAAAAAACAAATTGAATATATTCTTACATATATTTGCCTTGATCATTTTTACCCTACAAGAAACAGCATTGTTGGGATAGTTCTTAACATCGCTATAATTTTATTTTCCCTTTTATAAGATACTAAATTAATCATAGAATATTTAACTTTTAAAAGCGATTTTTATTTAAAAAATATTTTTAATGTACAATATTTAATAAAAAATAACAGAAATATTATGTATATATCAGAGATCTTTATTTTTTTAAATATACCCTAGAATACTCGTGATGATCCGAATTCCGAATATCAATAATTTTCGGATCCGACACGTAAATATAATATTCGAACCGGGTCGGTTAGAATATCCGGGTTAGGTTAAGCTTCCTTTGCAGATTCTGATATATATATATACATATACATACTGACTAAAATATTTTTTAAGAAAGAGTCGCTGAATTTATGCGACAAAAAAAAAGGTAATATAATTTAAAAAAACTTATTAAATAACATCTACTAATAATGAATGGTATATAATTATAGGGGGGGGGGGGTGAGAGTGTCAGGAAATTAGATAGGCAGATTTCTAAAGAGATTCTCTGTCTTAGATAGAATCCACAAAGTTATTTCTTTAAAAAACTTTTAATCAATTGAAAACTTAGCCATGATTTCTAAGACAATGATAACTTATGCCATAAAATTTTTATTTATAAGGTCAAATATTTATCCTTTTTTTTACGTGGGACAGGATATCATCATTAGGGTGGAGAAATAAAAAGAAAATATTTGTTCCAAAACATTAATATGTTAGCTAAAAGATGATAAAATAAATATATGGCCACAAGATTATTTTCCTTATTCTAATATTGTATTATAACTGAATCTCGCCTTTAGCTTGAAAACTTTTATGTTCATGAACTCCTGGTCAAAAATAAGTGATTTTTGCCGTATTTCTGATCCAAACACTCAAAACTTTTAAAGATTAAAAAATTTTGGCACCAATCTAAGTTTATTTCAAAAAAAAAATTAATAGCTATTATATATATAAAAAATAAATAATTCTTATTAGGTGGAAGGAGAAGCTTGCGGCGTAAGTCATATGCAAGGGAATTGCAAAAAGGGATTGAAATGTGAACATCCTCATCCGTCGATGATGGGAAAATGCGTCAAAGATTCATAGATAATAAATGTGTTATTCCAAAAATAAATTTTAAATAAATAATCTTGAAATTTTAGTGTTTAATATTAATTAATGTATGTATATATATATATACAAGCTTTCAATAAATATTGCATAAAAACTATTCCATCATTCTTATACAGTTTTCATTAATCTGTAGAATGTGTGATCGCATTTTTAATCTTTGGTTTAAAATAATTTTAACTAGAAAGGTTTACTGTAATGGTAACATTAACAATTATTAAATGTAATATATTCTAAAATTGCAAACATGTTTTTTTAATAAATAGATTTTAAAAAAATACACCATTAATTTGGGGATAATTTATCAATTTTATGATTATGGATAGAGTTTTTGATTAAAGATCACCATTCAATCACAGTAGGAATTTCTTATTGCCCAAATCAAAACCATCTGAAACTTTAATTTTTCTACTATGAAATCAAAATTCACTAAAATTATTAATTTCTTTATAAAATTGTATTCTTGTTTCATTTCCCAATATAATTTTTTTTAAAAACTATTAACTACATTAGGGAGTAATTAATAAATTTTATGAACAGTGTTTGGCATTAAAACCCTATAAATTCAAATCATTTTTGTAAAATATAATTTATAAGTTAATCTTTATAAAGTTAAAAGTAAATGAAATAAAATTTTTGAACTTAAGACTTATCAAAATTCAATAAAATATATATTTTATCATTTTGTGGTAAATTTTTTGTAAATGCTATCTTCTCATCAATATTTGGGGATAATTTATACATTGTACGAGCAGTTTGTAAAAAATATTAAATAAACAACTCTGTATAAACCTCTGAAGTATTGTTAAATAATATTTTACAATATTATTTATATACAACAATCAAACTTTAATTATATCTATTATACACAAAATTCTGATTTGATAAATTTATAGGATATAATTTTGACGTATATTTTACTGACCCTCTTGGTCATGGTGTAAATTTTATAAGAATATTTAATTTATTAGTTAGAAATTCAGCCCATTGGTATAATAAATATTTCGGAATTCAGAAAGCATTGGAGAAGCCAAAGTTCACCCACATCAAATTCTAGGAGGAGGTAGGAAAAATGTAGATATATGGAAACATTATATCTACAAAGCATCAATAAAAACAGTTAGATGTAAGATTTGGGCTGAAATTAAGTGTTAAAAAAAACTACCATAGCTTTAATTAATCATAACAAATGAATATGTCAGAAAACCTTTAATATATATTTATTGAGTCATATAACAGAATTCCTGTAAATATCAAAGTTTTGGTGATAAACATAATTAAATTATTATTTTTTTGAAGTTTTAATGGTAAAATAATATTTTAATTATAGTGTTTCGCGGGTATTTAACTTATATATATATCCTTAAATCTAATTTAAATAAAAATTATTTGTAAATAAATTATTTTGTAAATGTTTTGCAAACCCTTTTGACCATATAAATAGAAATTGATGTTTTCATATCAATCATTTTAAATTTAGTGTTTAGAACTAAAAGAATAAGAAGATTATATAGTTCTTTAGAAGATTTTAAAAAACCAACCAATCATGATGTTTTTTTTTTATTAAAAAAGCCTTTAAATTTTCTGAAATTGTCATAAAATTCAAGATTTTTCTATCTAGATATCTAATCTATCAACCACAATAATAAATTTGCTTAAACTTAAAGAAAAATACAATTGTTTTAAATAAAACGTTTTATAGTTGCATTTTTTTTGTTGTTATTAGAAATTTAGATTTTTATCAAATTTTTATTGATATTTTAAGAAATATTAAAACTAAACAAACATGTAAAAAAAAATTTTTCCCCTATATATTAAGACCAATAAAGATTTTATTTTATATTGGACATACAGGGAAAATTTGTTCTTAAAAAAATCAATTGATTTCTCTAATGTTATGGCTCAGAATGAAAAAGAGTGGGACAACTATCGTCGTTTGGATATAGGAAATTTTGTTTTCGAATTTATCTGAGCGATAAAAATATAATTTTAAAGAGAGATTCGTTAAATGGGCAGTCTTGGAATATGTAATAGGTGACAATTTGCTAAACATTTCAATTATCTTTACAAATTTTATATTCAAGGTCCTCAATTTTCATTATAATCATAGGGGAAAAAAGAGAAAAATCTTAGGAGACCCCAAGGAAGGATTTTACCTATGTTAGCAGAGTTCCCTGGAAATTATCCGGTATAATTTTTTAAAGTATTCACACTCCTCTAGTGTGATATGCATCCTTTTTATTTTAAATAATTTATTTATTTTTTCTTTATCTTATTACATTTTTTTTTTATTTTGTCTGCAAAGATTTATGTAAGAATGTTATTTATTTTATAGTTTAATTTTTAATATATATTTTTAAATCATTATATAAATGTTTAATTTGATTTAAATCAAAATTTTTTAAAATTATAAATAACATTATCTTTTTTCAATACACGTATTTGACAGTATAAAATTTTTTTTAAAAAAAGTACATATAATCATTTAAAATACAAAGTTTAATTAATTATACAGATATTTTTTTTTAAAATAATTTGTATCTCTTAGATACAAAATCTTTTCCCAAAATTGTTTATACATCCACTAGATAAAAATAAATATAATATATTTTCTCCGTGGAAACTTTACTACATTTTATTACAATATTATTAGGACCCAAGTAAATTAGAGCAAAATTGATTTGGATGCCAATCCCATTCCAACATCCCACTTTATTTTAAAAATGTTAATTTAAGTAAATATTTTGTTAGACGCTTATTGATAATTGGGTAATTAAATACAATAAAAATATTCTTTTTGCAGTTTTATAAATAAAAATATAACCGTTTCTTTAGACAGTTTAAAAAGATGCCTTAATCTTATCCTTATTTATAATTCCATGATTCTTAATATGGGACGTAATAGTTGTTTGTGTTTGTTTGTTACCTAAGTTAGAAATTACGTGGCTAAAATGATTTCACCAATTGTTTGGATATAGAAAATCGTAATATAATAAATTTACTACATAATATCTACGTCTTAGAGGGAAATTAAAAAAAAATAATATTAATATACTCATTTTTGTTAAAAAATAACGCCTTTTTATTAATTCGCGTAAAACCAAATTTTTGAATAATATATAGTAATTGTTCACAATTGATAATATGTAAGCGTTATGGTAAATTTCTATCAATTATAAAAATCATAAAAATGGAGAAAAATTTTGGCAGTTATCATCATATAATATTTCTTTTTAAAAAAAAGATATAAATTTAAAAAAGTAAATTATTTTTTTTCCAGCTAAATTCTAATTAATAAATAAAAGTATTAAATTTGTTATCAAATTTTTACAATGCAATATAAAAATAATAAAGTTTTGATGTACGAGCCAAACATTTATGGGCGTGGTATTGGTACGCTTTTGGGAGGGATGACGCATTTACCCATATTTCCTGGCGTACTTTGTAAACAGAATAAACCCGGTTTACAAGCTCCTTGTTGCCAAGCGTCTCCGCAAGGGTCACCCGCATTCTAATATAAAAAAATATATATATAATGTAATTTGTGTACCATTTATATATCGAAATAAGTTTATCAATATCGTGGATTGTGAGATATCATAATGATTTTTTTTATGTATATAGCAAAGTTGGGGGTAAAAAAAAAAGCATGATTACTCTAGGAAATCCGAGCACACATTTTCCGTCCGATTGAATAGGCTGTTTGTAACTATTGAAGAGGCATATCAAACCATTCGCGCATCTACCCTTCGTGAAAAAGGGTCCCCCGCACACTTCTCCTACCACCTAACCAATAATACCATTTTATATATATATATTTTAACATGTTATAATTACTAAAAAAAAAAATTTTAAGAGGCATATTATTATGAAATTATATTTTCTTGAATAACGACATATCCTGAAATCTTAATCCAGAATTTAGAGAATTAATCATCAGCTGATTTGTTTAAATTTGGAAATGACTACCTTATAAATTTCTGATAATCTGCCCTGTATATTTCTTTGGATTTTAATTTATAAAATACTCTTAAATTAAATAGACGAAAAGTGTTCAACGCTAAGTTGCCTGAAATTTCCCCAAAATAATGCTCTAAGCAATTCTGGAATACCTTTTGCTAAAATCAACCTAAGGAATCATAATCCTCACTCGGCGATCTTGGATAGATAAGTTGTTATTCCCACTTCCCAGAAATATCTATCATGCATATTTATTTATTTTTTACTTTAGCGCAAACATAACAGCAAGCACAAACATCTTTGATGACCTCTGCCTTGCAATTAGTAGGTGGAGGAGTTGTGCATTTTACCGGAAGTTCTTGACAAGGGCAATTCAACCCCACTACCAATCTGGTATTTCGAAAGAAAATATTTTTTAAAAGATCATTAAAAAATATTAGTAAATAAAATCAAATATTTTTTATAAAAATACTAATAAAATTTATATTACATTATGATATTGTAATTATATTTTGTGCACAATAAATTCCATCCGCTAGTACTCATAAAACCTGAATTAATTGATAAATCTATAGATAAAATATAAAATTCTTAAATTTCATGATAAACTTTGTTAAAATATTCTATCTATTAACAGTATACTTACGTGTTAAAGAGACTCAACAGAATTCCTGTATATATTAAAGTTTTGGTGATAAACATAATTAAAAAATTTTTTATGAAGTTAAAAATAATATTTGAATAATAGTATTTTCGTCTATTTAACTTATATATATAATATCTAAATCTATTTTATTTTAAAGATACTATTTGTAAATAAAAGTGTTAAATTTGCATTAATTTTATAAATGTTTTATAAACCCCTTTTGGCCATATAAAAAATAGAAATTGAGTTTTCATTATCAAACATTTTTAAATTAGTATTTAGGAATTTCACAATATAACATTTTGTCAGGATAGCAATATAAAATGGCTAAATCGAGCTAATTTTAATCAAAAGTCAAATAAATTTTCTGAAAGTGGCATAAAATCAAGAAATTTATAGATATCTAATCTATCAACAATGATAATTGCTTAATGTTTTATACAAAAAGTTTTATATTTGTAAAAATTTTTAGAGAGAGATTTATTTTCGTATAT